AGAAAATGGGGCAGGTGCGTTCATGGGTCCAACACGGGTGGGAATTTACAGTCTCATCTACATAAACACTATTTTGAAACTAATAAACCACCCGGTTACATATATTATTATTAAAAAAAGTATATATATTTTTTCTCTCTGTACTCCAATGAAGCTGGAGTATGGTGGTTTGAATCATATCTATCTGATAGAGTCCAGTTTGTAAATGTAAATAATAAATCTTCTTCATACACCAAAGTTAGTCATGGAGTTCCTCAGGGCTCAGTGCTTGGGCCAATACTCTTTACTTTATATATGCTTCCATTAGGTAAAGTTATTAAACAGCATGGGATAAATTTTCATTGTTATGCTGATGACACACAATTATATTTGTCCATTAAACCCAATGAATCCAATCAGCTACTTAGACTACAAGCATGTCTTAAAGACATAAAAACCTGGATGACCCTTAATTTTCTCCTGTTGAACACAGACAAAACTGAGGTTTTGGTTTTTGGATCTGAGCACCATAGTAATTAATTTTTCAGTCTTTCTCCCTCCTTAATCTGTCCTCCAGCTCTAATGTTAAAAATCTTGGTGTTATTTTTGATCAGGACATGTCTTTTATCCCCCACATTAAAAACTTTAGTAGAACTGCCTTCTTCCATCTGCGTAATATCACTAAAATTAGAAACAACTTATCTAAAAATGATGCAGAAAAACTGGTCCATACATTTGTCACGTCTAGACTGGACTGTTGCAATGGTTTATTATCTGGATGTCCAAATGCGTCTTTAAAACGTCTTCAGTTGATCCAAAATGCTGCTGCCAGAGTCTTAACTGGAGTTAGTGGGAGAAATCATATCTTTCCAGTTTTAGTTTCTCTCCATTGGCTCCCTGTCAAATCCAGAATAGAATTCAAAATCTTACTTCTAACCTACAAAGCTCTCAACAACCTAGCTCCATCTTATATTACAGATCTTATTGTTCCATATTTTCCTAACAGAGCACTTCACTCTCAGACTGCAGGTTTACTTGTGGTTCCTAGAATTTACAAAAACAGAATGGGAGGCAGATCTTTCAGTTATCAGGCTCCTCTCTTGTGGAACCAACTTCCAATCTCTGTCCGTGAGGCTGACACATTATCCAGTTTTAAAACTAGGCTTAAGACTTTCCTTTTTGCTAAATCCTATAGTTGGGGTCAGCTTGGGTTTCCTGAGCTGTCCCTTAGTTATGCTCTGTAGGCTTAGACTGCTGGAGGACAAACTGACCACAATTTTCACTCTGTTGCTGTCTTTACTTTGCTCAACCTGTTTTGTATTTGTAATTATTTTTCTAGCCTTAATGTGTTTTTTTTTGTCTTTCAGGTACACCTGGACCTACCATTCTGTGTTCGTCTGTCTCTCCTCCCTGTCCTCTCAACCAGCCGGTCAAAGCAGATGGCCGCTTGTCCTGAGCCTGGTTCTGCTGGAGGTTTCTTCCTTTTAAAAGGAAGTTTTTCCTTTCCACTGTTGCCACTGTGCTTGCTCAGGATGGGAGACTGCAACGAAGCCAAGATTCAACTTGTCTGCTGGATTCCTTAGATAGAGAACTTTACTAATTGGCTTTTATGTATGTGAATGTTTCTGTAAAGTGCCCTGAGACAACTTTGTTGTGATTTGGCGCTATATAAATAAAGAAGAAAAAAAAGACAGGCATGTTCTCCCGGCGTTCAGTGAAAAATTAACAGAGCAGTTTGGATGTTAAGATGCTTTTTAACATAGACATTTACAGGTGCTGGTCATAGAATTAGAATATCATGAAAAAGTTTAATTATTTTAGTAATTCCATTCAAAAAGTGAAACTTGTATAGACAACATCCCCGGAAAAGTGTTGAAGGAATGTGCTGATCAGCTCTGTGAGGTGCTGGCAGACATCTTTAACACCTCACTTACCCTGGAGACAGTTCCCACCTGCCTGAAGACTGCCACCATCATCCCAGTCCCAAAAAGCTCTACAGTGACTGGTCTGAATGACTATCGGCCAGTGGCCCTCACCCCAATAGTCGCTAAATGCTTTGAAAAACTGGTCATGACTCACATCAAAACAACCATCAACATGAACGAGGACCCTCATCAGTACGCATACCGTGAGAACCGATCAACAGAGGATGCCATCTCCTCTGTGGTCCACACTGTGCTCAACCACCTGGAGCAGAAAAACTCTTACGTCCGTATGCTCTTTGTGGACTTCACATCCACCTTCAACACCATGATCCCCCAAACCCTGATGGACAAACTATCCACACTAGGACTAAGCCCCTCCATCTGCAACTGGGTACTAGACTTCTTAACAAACAGACCACAGTTAGTGAGGATCCACAACTTATCCTCCTCCACCATAACCCTCAGCACTGGCTCTCCTCAGGGATGTGTGTTGGGCCCCCTCCTGTTTACTCTGCTCACGTATGATTGTGCAGCTACCCATCCAGTCTGTCACATTGTAAAGTTTGCAGATGATACAGCGGTGGTGGGATGCATCACAAACAATGATGAGTCCAGCTACAGGCAAGAGGTGGAACACCTGGAGAGCTGGTGCAAAGAGAATAACCTTCACATCAATGTGAAGAAGACAAAGGAGATGATTGTGGACTTCAGAAGGAACAAAAACATCTACACCCCCCTGAACATAAGAGGATCTGCGGTGGAAGTGGTCTCCAGCTACAAGTACTTGGGTGTACACATGAATGACAACCTCAACTGGAGCAACAACACCACCAGCCTGATCAAGAAAGTTCATCAGCGACTCTACTTCCTCAGACGGCTGAGGCGAGCTGGTCTGGGAAGCTCAGTCCTCACCTCCTTCTAGAGGTGTGCAGTGGAGAGCATCCTGTGCTCCAGCATCAACGTGTGGCATGGAGGCTGCACAGCTGCAGAAAGAAAAGCTTTGCAGAGAGTGGTGAAGGCTGCACAGAAGATGTTGGAATCAGTCTCCCCACCATCACAGATATCTACACCTCTAGATGCAGGAAGAGGGCCACCTGCATCATGAAGGACCCCACTCACCCAGCACACACACTTTTTTGTCCCACTCCCCTCAGGAAGGAGGTTAAGGAGCATTAAGTGTAGAACCACTAGACTGAGGAACAGCTTCTACCCTGAGGCTGTTAGACTCATGAATCTCTAACTTGAATAATCACTGTAAAAAAATCACATCATGTTGCTGCTGATCTGTTTCATGTTGCTGCTGATCTGTTTCAACGTTGATGTGTTCATGCGTGCACATCTGCTCACAGACTCATGTTCATGTTTGTGCTGATGTTTGTTTTATGTCATTAGTGCTTAGTGTATATTTAGTTGATGTTTTTCTTAGTTCATATCTTAGATGTTATTACTGTTTTTCTTATACATTTTATTGTTGGATGTAACTGGGACCCTGTGTACATAATTTCGCTCCACCACATGTACCACATGAGGTGCGAATGACAATAAAGAATCTCTGACTCTGATATTCATTCATTACACAGAGACTGATATATTTCAAGTGTTTATTTCTTTTAATGTTGATGATTATAACTGACAACTAATGAAAGCCCCAAATTCAGTATCTCAGAAAATTAGAATATTACTTAAGACCAAAAAAAAAGAAGATTTTTTTAGAAATGTTGGCCAACTGAAAAGTAAGAAAATCAAAAGTATGAGCATGTACAGCATTCAATACTTAGTTGTTGTTCCTTTTGCCTGGATTACTGCAGCAATGCAGCGTGGCATGGAATGGATCAGTCTGTGTCACTGCTCAGGTGTTATGAGAGCCCAGGTTGCTCTGATAGTGGCCTTCAGCTCTTCTGAATTGTTGGGTCTGGCATATTACATCTTCTTCACAATACCACATAGATTTTCTATGGGTTAAGGTCAGGAGAGTTTGCTGACCAATTAAGAACAGGGATACCATTGTCCTTAAACCAGGTACTGGTAGCTTTGGCACTGTGTGCAGGTGCCAAGTCCTGTTGGAAAATTAAATCTGCATTTCCATAAAGTTGGTCAGCAGCAGGAAGCATGAAGTGCTCTAAAACTTCCTGGTAGACGGCTGCGTTGACCTTGGACCTCTGAAAACACAGTGGACCAACACCAGCAGATGACAAGGCATCCCAAACCATTACTGACTGGACCTCAAGCAACATGGATTTTGTTCCTCCCCTCTCTTCCTCCCGACTTTGGGACCTTAATTTCCAAAGGGAATGCAACATTTACTTTAATCAAAGAACATAACTTTGGACCGCTCAGCAGCAGTCCCAGGCGAGATGCATCTGACACTGTCTCTTGTTCGAGAATGGCTTGACACAAGGAATGTGACAGCTGAACCCCTTGTCTTGCATACGTCTGAGCATGGTGGTTCTTGAAGCACGGACTCCAGCTGCAGTCCAGTCTTTGTGAAACTCCCCCACGTTCTGGAATGGGTATTGTTTCACAATCCTCTCCAGGGTGCGGTTATCCATATTGTTGTACACTTTTTTCTACCACATCTTTTCTTTCCCTTCACCTCTCTTTTAATGTGCTTGGACACAGAGCTCTATGAACAGCCAGTCTCTTTAGCAATGACCTTTTGTGTCTTGCCCTCCTTGTGCAAGGTGTCAATGGTTGTCTTTTGGACAGCTGTCAAGTCAGCAGTCTTCTCCATGATTGTGTAGCCTACAGAACTAGACTGAGACCATTTAAAGGCCTTTGCAGGTGTTTTGAGTTAATTAGCTGATTAGACTGTGGCACCAGGTGTCTTCAATATTGAACCTTTTCACTAAATTCTAATTTTCTGAGATACTGAATTTGGGGGTTTCATTAGTTGTCAGTTACAATCATCAACATTAAAAGAAATAAACATTTGAAATATATCAGTCTGTGTGTAATGAATGAAGTTTCACTTTTTGAATGGAATTACTGACATAAATCAACTTTTTCATGCTATTCCAATTTTATGACATCTATGCTTTTAACCGGCTGTAGAGGGCGGATGCGACCGCGCATGCGCTCCAGCTCCTGTCCTCTCTGCAGCTGACCGGCACCGACCGCCTTCAGTGGCTGCACAAATCCTGGACTGGACTGTCACATAAATACCGCGCGGGGAGTGATGGCCGGGATTTTTGGAAAGATCTTCGTGGGTATTTATGTGGAGATAAAGCGAAGCGACGGTACGTAGCCGCCACGCACGCTCACTGCCTCCCCGCACGCTCTCTGCCGCTCGGCTCGACTCACCGGAGCGCAGCTAAGCGGCTACATCCTCCTCGCTGCTGCGCTTTAACCGCATGCAGTTATTAAACCAGCACTCGGTGGAGTCTGACGGGGCTTGGAGTAAACACATGCATGGTGCTGTGGTCTGAGTCACGCAGACTGAAGTCTGTGGGCCTGCCGGGCTGCAGGCGGCAACCGGGCGGGTCCTATGATGAGAACACCTGCCCTGCATCCTCTGCATCCCTCTCTGATAAAACGATGGGAGCATGCACCGGTCTGCACTGCAGCACCGAGCCTGGTCCGGGGCGGACGGGTGCTGCAGGGCTTCATCCTTCTGAGCCCAGTATGAACAAAAACCTGCTTTCTGACATCCTGCTGCTCCTTCTGACAAATGTCTTCCTGGTGACGGAATGATGAGCGGTTAGAAGCTGAGCATCTCATCTGCCACACCCATCTGAGTCTTCATTCAAAGGCCAAGGTGTTCCTGTTAGTTAAATAACTCATGAATTACTGAACAAATTTAAATGAAAATCATTTACCACTGATTCTACTTTTGAAGTCAAGCCCTTTAGGAAACAAAAATTTATATAATTTTTACTAATTTTACCAATATTATATCAAAATGTGGTACTCAGACATCCATCCATCCATCCATCCATCCATTATCTTTACCCGTTTATTCCATTTTGGGTCACGGGGGTCACTGGTGCCCATGTCCAGAAATCACTGTGCGAGGGGCGGGGGACACCCTGGACGGGTCGCAAGTCCATCACAGGGACACATAGAGACAAACAAGACAAACAACTATTCACTCTCTCATTCACACCTAGGGACAATTTAGAGTTACCAATCAGCCTAACATGCATGTTTTTGGTCTGTGGGAGGAAACTGGAGCACCCGGAGAAAACCCACGCATGCACGGAGAGAACAAGCAAACTCCACCCAGAAAGGCCCCTGGACCGGGGTTTGAACCAGGGACCTGCTCGCTGAGAGACAGCAGCTCTACCAGTTGTGCCACCGTGCTGCCCGTACTCAGACATATCCCTAACATTTACAGTAGTATACACATCAGCAGATTGCACAAAATGATGACCCAATTATTTGGAGTCAACACAGTGCTGTTAGCAAAATATTTCATAAACCACTGGAAAGACCCTAATGAAAATTTCAGGAAATAAATATTGGATGTATTTCTACATCTGATTAACCTCTGGAGTCAATCCAGCTCAAGACGGCCACTATAGAACAACATTAGCCAAACAGATATGGCTACCTCGGCCACTTTTAAAGACGCGGAGCTAAAATTTGGTCTGGAAGTAGTTGAGGGTGTTTTACAGCTCGCTGACATTTTGTACAAGATTGTGCAAAATGTTCCATTTATTGTTATGTTTATCAAACAGCTATAACATAATTTTGTGACATAAATGATCTTAATGTGAAACTCTGATATGAAAGTGATGGGTGATAAATTACTATATGCTACGTGTTTTACAGTTAAATGTATAAAAAATCTGAAACTAAAAACAAGCTGTTACTTCTGTTCATTTTTTAATTATTATTTGCTGATGATGTTCTCTTCTCTGTAAAGATGCATGTTCAATTCATGACAACATGGTTCTGATGGGCGCAACTGGTAGAGCTGCTGCCTCTCAGCGAGCAGGTCCCTGGTTCAAACCCCGGTCCAGGGGCCTTTCTGGGTGGAGTTTGCATGTTCTCTCCGTGCATGCGTGGGTTTTCTCCGGGTACTCCGGTTTCCTCCCACAGTCCAAAAAACATGCATGTTAGGCTGATTGGTAACTCTAAATTGTCCCTAGGTGTGAGTGAGAGAGTGAATGGTTGTTTGTCTCGTTTGTCTCTGTGTGGCCCTGTGATGGACTTGCGAACCGTCCAGGGTGTACCCCGCCCCTCGCACAGTGATTGCTGGACATGGGCACCAGCGACCCCCGTGACCCAAAATGGAATAAGCGGGTAAAGAAAATGGATGGATGGATGGATGGTTCTGATGTTGGACTTGCATTGAAGGCTGCAGCCAGACCTGAGCATGTTTTCATGTTTCCTCTGCAGGACGAATACACCAGGCCATGGTCACATCTCTGCATGAAGACAATGAGAGTGTGACCGTGGAGTGGATTGAGAACGGGGACACCAAGGGGAAAGAGGTAAAGAAGAACTAAGATCTGCTTTTAGCCTCTCATAAGCTCAGAAGACAAGCAGGCCTTTTTCTGAGGATGCTCCTAATTCCCTTTGATCAACTCAGAACAGACACTGTGGCACCAAAAAAGTTAAAGAGACTGTTTTTCTGTGAAAATGCAGAGTGAACGCTGAATGCTGAGTGACATCACTAAAACTTGCTGAAAATTTTCAAACCAAATTTTTACAGATAGATAGATAGATAGATAGATCTATACAAAGAATAGTGAGTGCTTTATCACATTCACTGCATGCCTCCGATGTGGGACATGCACCAGAGGTAATGAGGGGTTCAGTGTCTTGCCCAGGGACACATTGGCATGTGAATGCTGGTGGAATCGAACCCCCAACTGTTGCATTGAAGGACGACTTTTCTAACCACTCAACCACCACTTTTAGCTAGCCATGTATCACAAGGCTAGCTAAAAGTGGCAATATGGTAGCTAAAAGCTAAATGTGGCAAAAGCCTAGGTAAAAGCTAAAAGAAGAGAATTGTACAGGCAGGCAAAAAAATAAACAAAAAGCTAGCTACAAGTCAAAAGTAGCTGGAAGCTATTTTTTTTTTTTCCTTGACGTGTTTTTGTCTTCCAATTGGAGGTACAGCTGCACCCACATCTGGACCTGCTATTCTGTGTTCTGTCTCTCCTTCCTGTCCTCTCAAACCAGCTGGTCAAAGCAGATGGCCGCTTGTCCTGAGCCTGGTTCTGCTGGAGGTTTCTTCCTGTTAAAAGGGAGTTTTTCCTTCCCACTGTTGCCACTGTGCTTGCTCAGGATGGGAGACTGTGACGATGTGAAGATTCAACGAGTCTGCTTCGTCCATAGAGAACTTTATTAATTGTCTTTTCTATGAATGTTTCTGTAAAGTGCCCTGAGACAACTTTGTTGTGAATTGGTGCTATATAAATAAACTGAATTGGACAGACCAATCAAACCAAATGTGTGTGTATCTGTAATATGAGATGACATGCTGGGTATAATGTGTTATACGCAGTACTCTTGTTTTGTCTGCTTTGATGGTTTCTTGTTCGGTATAGTATTCTTATTATTTATTGTTTGTGTGCAGCATTTTGGCCAATGACAGTTGTTTTTATGTGTGCTACATAAGTAAATTTGATTTTATTTCATTAAGCGTATTACTCACTCCTGCTATATTTTGTGATAATCATGTTGATCCTTTATTGCATTTGTCAGAAAGATTACTGTTGGCGAGATCATTAGTAGGACTGTGAATGAGTTTTGCTTTTTCTGGACCAGATTCTTGATGTTCTGGTTTATTTTGTGCTCTTCACTCTCAGGTTGGTATTGAAAGCAGTAAGCTGAGAAGAGAGAAAATAAAGATAATTTGTGATTGCAATAACATCTCAGTCTTGCTTGTGCTTCAGATTGATCTGGAGAGCGTCTTTGCTTTGAATCCAGATGTCGCTCTCGATGAAGAAATCCCACAGAGTCCTGAAGCACCTCTTCCTCTATCCAGTGTCGCCAAACCCAGCAAAGTCCCTAAGGTCTGCTCCTCACTGCACCGTGCTCATGCTCTGCTCATAGACTTTTCTGTTATTTTAATAGTGCCTCCAACACTGATAAACATGATTTTTGAATGGTTTAGTTACCGGTAATTTAATGCTTACATAGTTTCCTAGTCGACTTTGAATTTATTGTTAAAGGAAAAAAATCATTGCCCAAACTTTAACGTTTTAAATGTTGAACAAGAATCAGAAACTAATGCTATTCATAGGATGCAAATAGTTATTTTTGTGAAGATAGTCAAATTTTATTTTTAATCATTATACTGACTGCATTTGTTTTGTCCAACAAAACAGTAAAACAACCATCATTTTTCATTCCACCGTTCTACCAAAAAAATAAAACACTTTCCAGTTTTCATTCTGTAGCAGCTTATTATCTCTGGATGTTTTATGCTCTAAAACTGCCTAAAATAAAGAATCAGTTGGCTAAATGTTTAAAGTTATGGTTGGTTCTGTTTCTACAGTATTTATAGTTTAATTATCATTTATTAATTAGCATTTTTATAATAAAAATATAAAATTTGTAGTATTGATGACACCTGAGGAAGGAAGAAGCCTAAAGAGGGGGGGGGGGGGGGGGGATAGCATTTGATGTTGTGATGTATTTGTTCCACATGTAGCTAAAATTTTAATTGATATAATTCATTTTAAGTTATTACTGTTTTAATTTGTTTTTAAATGACATAGATATGGATTCTTCCATAAAATGATATTTGTATAAAAAAACATTAGCCAATGTGCATCTTTCATCAGTGGAAAATTGCTACTTTCAATTGTCATTTAAATGAAAATTATGTATTTGCAAAGGTCAAATGTCAAGACTTAAAAAAAAACTTAACAAAGGTTTTTTTAATCTTTTTTTTTTTTTTTTTACACAAACACAACAAAGAACAGAGAACTAAATAACACCCCACCCCCACCCCCGCCCCCATACCGGACCAGCCACACACACACACTTTACAGTGTCTGTCTTACAATGTCTCTTTACAGGCATTGACATGTCCTCAACATCAACAAAAAAGGCCACCAGGTGTCCCAGAATCTTTCCACAGACCTTTCAGGGTGTATCTCTTTTGTTTCCAGATGGATATGGTACATGACTTCTCTTATCCAGTGTATATATGCTGGGGGGTGCGGGTCCTTCCACATGCACAAAACAAGTCTCCTGCCCATGAAGGAGCCAAAAACAATCCCATCCTTGTACTTGCTGAAGGACATATCCACAGGGACCACCCCAAACAGTGAGATGAATGGTGATGAGCGCACAAGTTTTCCACATATCACAGAGAAGGTGTCAAAACTAGATTGTCAAAAGGTCTGCAGTTTGGGACAGGTCCAGAATGTATGCAAGAGTGTAGCTGGAGTTTGTTTACAGCAATTACATGCAGGGTCCATGTCAGCTTTGATCTTGGACAACTTCTCGTTGGACCAGAGCAGCCTGTGCACCACCTTGAAGTGAATTACAGTACGTCTCAAACAGATTGAGGATGAATACATGTTCTTACTGATCTTCCGTCAGATTGAATTTGATATGGATTCCTCCAAGTCTGTTTCCCATTTCAGTTTAAGAGAGTCCAAACTGGTCTCATGGTATGAACTGAGCAGTTTATAGATCTTGATGAGGCCCCCCTCTGTATCAGAACTGCATTCCAAAATCTTAACCAAAAACTGTTTAGAGAGGTACAAAGGAAAACAATCAGTTGGATCTCACAAAATGTCTCGGCTGCAAATATCTGAAAAACTGTGACTTGTGAATATTAAACCTGTACCAGCTGCTCAAAAGAGGCAAAGTTTTCATCAACATAGAGATAATATAGTGAATGTACTCCATTCAAGACCCAGGCATCAAAAGCTATCAGCTATTGGAGTAAACAGGATTTGACACAGGTGCCAGATACAGTAACTCTGTAGAGTTAAATGCCCTCCTGAACTGCTTCCAGATCTTCACTGTCCAAATCAAAACTGAGTTAGAAGTGTAGGTTCAAACTGACTGTTTGAAAGGGAACTGAGAGCAGATTAATGCAAAAGGGGAACTGGATCTAATTGAGGCCCTCTCCAAAGCCACCCATAGTCAAAGTGTTTCTTTATTGTCGTTCACATCACATGTGATACATGTGGTGGAATGAAATTGTGTACACAGGGTCCCAGTTACATCCAACAAAAGTATACATTTTAAAGAAAAACTGTAATAAGATCTAAGATATGAGCTAAGAAATATGCTAAACTAAGAATACTCTAAGCACTAATAGTACAAAAACAATAAGCCGAACAACAGCAGCACAAACATGAGTCTCTGTGCGCAGATGAGTAGGAATGAACACAGCAGCATGAAATAAATCAGCAGCATGAGATCAGCAATATGGATAATCAGCAGCACATAGAATAATAATAATAATGTGTTATTTGTTGTCATCATTGTATGTTCCCATACAATGGAGAAATTGGCTCTCTGCATTTAACCCATCCACCACCAGGTGGAGCAATGGGCAGCTATTGGAGGTGCCCGGGGAGCATTTGGGGATAGATAGATATTGGGGATAGGGTGTGCTGCTCAGAGACACCATGAGATGTACAACGACTGGGGATCAAGCCTGGGACTTTTGGGTCCCGGGTTGGCTGCCCTGCTTCTACCCCATCTTAGCTCCCATATATATATCAACGATCAAGTGGCATTACAGTGATTTTTCACAGTGATAATCCTGGTTAGAGATTTGTGAGTCTAACAGCTTCAGGGTAGAAGCTGTTCCTTAGTCTAGTGTTTCTACACTTAATGTTCCTCAACCTCCTGCCTGAGGGGAGCGGGGCAAAAAGTGTGTGTGCTGGGTGGGTGGGGTCCTTCATGATGCAGGTGGCCCTCTTCCTGCATCTGGAGGTGTACAGTAGATGAATGTGATGGTGGAGAGGCTGACTCCAACAGTGTTCTATCTATCTATCTATCTATCTATCTATCTATCTATCTATCTATCTATCTATCTATCTATCTATCTATCTATCTATCTATCTATCTATCTATCTATCTATCTATCTATCTATCTATCTATCTATCTATCTATCT